TGGACAGACTCAGGGGTCGGCTTGCGCTGCCGAACTGCAAGTTCACGTGCGACAAGGGCCAGGGACGAATGTATGATTATGCTATTGTCTCTAAGCAGCTGACTTCGGACCGCATCAGGCTCAGGCAGGTAGTAGCGGTACCTTGGAAGACTCACTGCGCTATTGCCATTGACGTGCTGGGCGCCAAGCGGACTTGGTGGCATAGGTCGTTGGAGCTTCCTGAACCGCTACCCAGGGCCAACCGCCCTCAGCAGGAGCCAAACCCAGACAGCAAGCGATCCCTGAAACGTAAGCAGGTGGCAGATGCACGCAGACAAGAACTTCCTGAAGAGCTGCGCGAGGCTTTCGATGACCTGCCTTCTCAGGAGCCACAGCCAGAAGGCCCCAAGGTTGCGTTCAAGGTGGAACAGGCAGAATGGCTCAAGATCTATGGCGAAGTGGAGCAGGAGACCTTCAGACCACGTACTGCAGCAGCACAGTTGTCGACAGGCCCCCTGTCGACCTGGAGGCCTGCTCAACGCTCCACCTTGGATGATAGATATGGGCGATGGGTCACTACATTGGAGCGGTCTATTGTGGCGGTCAGCGATGTGGAGGACCCCGCTGTGTTTCTTGGTAGAGGGCAAGGATATTCTATTTCATGGAGAAAGATGCGCCCAGCTCCAGGTAGACCTCACATGTGCGATCCTGTTGCAGAATGGTGGGGGATCGCATCCACACTGCTGGCTCGAGGCGTTGCCTTGACACGCTCAGGCAGGGACCCTCCAGAGGCGGAGAAATGCCTTGCGGGCTTTCGTTCCATGGTACAGAGCCTGACAGAAGCCAAGCAGCAGGAGTTCTTCGGGAAAAAGGCCTTGACCACCGCAGTGCAAGAGTGGAAGGATGTTGCCCTGCAGGTGTCGCACCTCAGCCAGAATGAGTTGGAGCAGCTCCAGGAGCACACCAACGTGTGGGTCGACCGCGCCCAGGGGCGCTCATTAGTCAAGTCACGCCAAGCCTTCATGGACTGGGCTAAGCAGATGTGGGCTAAGAGGCCAGGTGCTATTCATCGACACGTTCGTGCTCCTCCTCCTGACCCACTACCGCGTGAGATCATCTTGGATGGAGTGGACACTGCAGACCCCTGCGTACTCATTCGCACGAAGAAGGACTTTTGGCAGGGAGTTTGGCAGGAGGACAATGACAGCAGGGAGCACTTGCTTTGGACCTTGGAAGGATTGGCCAGGGATGCTCGTGAAGACCCCTTGCCACCACTGAATGAAGGACAGATCGAATCGATACTCAGACGACAAGCACCAAACAAAGCGAGAGGAGTTGATGGCTTGGGCCCAGTTGATCTTCAACGTATGCCTCAAGATGGACTTACTGAGCTCACGTGCATCCTCAATCAAGCGGAGCTGCTGCAAACGTGGCCGACAGCGTGGTTAGCTACGATTTGTGCGGTTATTCCGAAGCCAGCTGGAGGTACGAGAGTGCTTGGAATGCTACCGCAATGTTGCAAGACGTGGAGCCAGGCGCGCAGTTCGGTCACCTCCAGCTGGTCGGATGGACTTTCTGCTTTCTGGGACACAGCCATCAGGGGCAGCAGTGCCCTGAGAGCTGCTATGACGCGAAGCCTCATGGACGAGGCCTCTGCTACTGCAGGCAAGGCAACGGCGACTGTACTGCTGGACATAGCCAAGTTTTACGACTCCATCTCTTTCACCCTCCTGGTGGTTGCGGCGCGGGGGCTCAACTTCCCTCCCACGGTGCTGCTCATGGAGATCCTGCTCTTCATGGCGCCGCGCATCCTCAAGGAGGGCTCGGTCATCAGCGAGCCGTTCTGCCCTGGCCGCTCGATTGTGGCTGGATCGTCGCATGGAGTTTGCCTTGGAAAAGTGTTCTTGCATTCTGTTCTGGAAGCTGCGCACGCTAGAGCCCCTCAGGCCTCGTTATGGACCTTTGTCGATGACACTGTGGCAAGATCTGAGGGCACCCAGGCCACTGTTGTTTCGGAGATGGAAGGTTTAGCAGAAGCTTTCTCGGAGGGATTCAGTCTCAAGAGGCTCACGGTCTCGGACAAAACGGTTGTCTTGGCGTCCTCTCCTGAGCTTGGGAAGCGCATAGCCAGAATTTTCAGAGCCCGACGGATGCCCGCTAAGTTTGCTTCTGTAGGAGTTGATTTAGGTGTTGACACTGCGGCAGGTCGCTTTCGGACCAGGAAGAAGGCACGCCAGAGAATGGCTAAAGCCAGTGGTCGTTTTTCTAGGATTGTGAAGATGCGCAGGCTGGCTGGTTTGAGGAAAGTCACCCAGGGCGCTTGGCGCACGGGAGCCTTACCACAGGCCAGCTTTGGCCATCAAGTTTACGGTATGCCACCGAGTCAGGGCTTGCTTCTGAGGCGACAAGCTGCTCGCACGGTCTCGGGAATGGGTAAGGGCAAATGTTTAACCACTGTTCTGCAGGCTGTGCTGGGGGATGGAGACCCCGCCCTGGAGCTACGCCGACAATTGGTGGACGCCTGGCTGCAGCTGTGGAAGCGCGTCCCTGCCCTCCAACCTCGTATTCGACGGTCGTGGAGTATCGTTCGGTCGCAGCTCGATTCGCTTGGTGCCAAAAGGTGGAGAGGCATTCGGGGGCCCATAGCTGCAGTCCAGGCCACCCTTATTGAAGCAGGATGGGAGCCCAGGGAACCTGACCTGTGGGAACGACCTGAGCATGCGGAGCATGCGTGGAGGTTCCCACGAATGGGCGACCCAGACTTTGATTTACTCCCGATAACTGACCACGCAGACCTGTTGCATGAGTTCGTTTCTGACATGAAGGCTAAGTTGTGGCAAGGTGCTGCAGGGCACGAGGCAGGCGACAGTTTGAAAGAAGGAGCTGACCTCCTTCCACTGCAACAGGAACTCCGCCGTTTCGAGTCTCGGGGCCAGTCGGATCTTTGGGGCCTCACCTTGTGCGTGGCCTCAGGGGGCCAATGGCCACGTCAGCGTCAAGTCGACTGTGGCTACACGGTTGACGTTACTTGCCCAAGGTGCAAGGCGGCCCCTGAGACCTTGTTTCACAGAATATGGCAATGCGTGTGTAATGTTGATCACCAAGATTTTAGCAGCACGCAATCACTGGTTTCCCAGGCCACGGCGCAATGGGAAGCAGACCCTTCTTTATGGCTGAGAGGAGTTCCGTCGAGAGACCTCACCTGCCCCGTCTTCCTTGACCCCCTTGAGGCCCCTCCTCTTACGTACTACGGCTCCTCTCGCCTCAGTGAGTTTTGTGTTGCCCCTGGCCAGGGCCCTCCCCACATTTTTGGAGATGGGTCAGGGGGCAAATACAGCAGCGACCCAAGACGCAGGAGATGTGGTTCTGGAGTTGCTCTCATTCGGAGAGCCGAGGATGGCTCCTGGGAGCCCGCCTCGGGCGTTTCGTCCCCCCTCCTGGGGCCGCGGCAGACTGTGTCGCGCGCGGAGATAGCTGCGCTCGCCATCGCTCTGGAAGAAACCACGGGACCCATCATTTATGTCACTGATTGCCAGCCAGTCCTGGATGGGTGGAGAGCGGGTCGTGCCCACGGCAAGTTAGGCCCGAATCAGGACGCGTGGTTCAGGGTGGCGGTGGCGTTGCGGAATCGGGGGGAGGCTGAAGTACAGGTCGTGTGGACGGCTGCCCATCTTGAGGACTCTGGCAAGGCTCTCAGTGCGTGGCAAGTCTTCCTCACTGCTGGCAACATGTGCGCGGATGAGCTGGCGGGGAGAGCGGCGGACGAGGCCTTGTTCCAATATACTCGTCAGCCTGCCCCCAGCACTGACACCTATGATTGCATCGCCCACCTTGTCAGGCGCAGGGCCAGACGTGCGTTGATATGCTCACTCCAGGTTGACCCCTGGCAAGCTACCAGGCTCGCCAAAGTGCGGGTACCCCCCCCCTCCAGGAAGGCCGTTGCCCTGAGGGACACCTCGCATGATTGCGAGCAGGTGGGGAACAGGTGGCGTTGTAGAGTGTGCAGTCAGATTGTGGCCTCCACCCAGCTTCTCAAGTTTTGTGCCCAGTCTTGTCCTGGTCTGGCCCCTGAGGTCCGAGGCCAGAAGTCGGAGTGGAGCCAATTTGTGTTGGGAACTGGTGAGATTTTGATAGGGGCCACCTCGGCCCACTCGTCCCACAAAATCTTCTACTGGCCTGAGTTTTCCTTGCATTTTTGTGTTTCTTGCGGGCTCACCGCCACTGTGGATGGTAGGTGGCTCGCAAGACCTTGCCAGGAGCCCTCCCCCAAAGGAGCCCAGAACCTTGACAGGATCCGTCGAGGCATTTTTCCCTCGCACAGGGGACCCCCGAAGGCTGTGCTGCTGGCCAGTGCGCGGCGGGAAGCTTCGGATGCGGTCCAGCGTGCGAGGGAGGCTCGGGAGGAGGGTAGTATTCTGCTGGCTCACGGTGAGGGGGGTGTGGGTGGAGCGGCCCGTCGACCCACCAGGATCCCTCACCGTGACGGCGGGGACTCATCTTCGGATTAGTCCCCGCCCAACCCGTTTTGTTTTGTGGACGCTTGTCCCTTCATGGTCACTTCTGGTCACTCCTCCTCCTCCCCCTCCCCCCTTGAGCATCTCTTGGGAGGAGCTCACAGCGGCCGGAAGGTGGCTGCACGCGACGGCGGCTCGCGCGCCGCGGCCTGTGCCGGAGAGCTGCCCCTGACAGCGGGGGGCGGCGCGAGAGCGTGGAGATGACGGCACGTCGCACGTCCAGGGGCGCGATGCGCGGAAGACGGCGGTTCGGAGGAGCTGCATCGGGGGTCGATGGTCGAGACGCGAGCCGCGGCAGGAGCTGAAGTGTTCGGAGGTCCGCGCAGATCTCTCGGGTCGGCGATGGACCCCCTCGCAAGGCCCCTGCGCTCTCCGCGGCAGGGAAGGGACGGGGAGTGGGGTTCCAGCTCCGTGCCAAGAGAGCAGCGCGGACGTGCCGAAGATAAGGTTTGTCGTTTCCCTGGGTCTCTCTTTGTAGAGGCATGGAGAAGAGGGAATGGACCCCAGGTGAACAAGCTGTGGGATTGGACCGATGCGGAGCTGAAGACTCTGCGCGGCTGGGACGGCAGCAAGATGCCAGGAGGCTGCTGGGCCTTGTGTGGGCAGGGGTAGTTAGAGATGTTGCCATGAAGCAGTCAAGCGGTGGCAGTACGGATGCAACATTTCATCACACGGGCTGCTGGTGAATCCTCGTCTGCTTGTCCGAGGTTCTTGCATCTTTTACTTCGGGTCCATGCTCCTGTGGTTGACCGTACATCCGCGGGCCCGTGCCTACACCGCCTGGCAGCAATGGGGCCCACTGGTCGCCATGGCCTGGCTGGGGCAGAGCTGCCCCTGCACCGCGTCCTCCTCGCCCCCCCGCCCCTCCGCCCCCCCCCCCACTGGCGGCTCGCAGGGCGGGGCGGGCTGAGGGGCGCGGCCTTGCGACAGAGGCCCCCCCAGGCCCTTGCCTGCCATTACCAGCCTGGAACAGATCCCTATCCCTATGCTGGGCATCTCCTCATCACGACGCCAATCTTAGGGATTCCCTTATTTTGTGAGGGCGAATCCCTAAGATTGTCATCGCCTTTTGGCGTGCCAATCTTAGGGGTAGGGCTACGTGCGAGGCTGGCTATGCCAGGGGTGGGGGGGGCGCATGCAGGGGTCTGGCGCTGCCCCCGCCTGCGCAACAAGAGGCCGCCCGGCCTTGAGAGGGCCCCGGTGGCCTAAAACGACGCGAAGATCGGGACAAAATCGGATCGGGATAACCCGAAGTCTCTGAGAATCGGCGGGTGTGGAGGATGTACTGGGCGCCGCGGCCGCTCCAGAGCGTTCCGGAACGCTCTGAGAGCGCTGCGGAACGCTGTGGAGCGATGTATCCCGATCCTAGCCCTGTTTTATGGCCCGCCGCCGGCCTCCGCGCCTTCCTGCTCCTCCCGGACCCGCCGGGCTGCCGACGAAGCAGCGGGGGTGCTGGCCGAGTGGTGCCTGGCCGCCGCCTCGGCCGCGGGCCTCGCTGCGGGGCCCACGTCGACCCGACTCGGTGCCGAAGCTGGCCAGCTCGATCCGAGGCGGCGTCGACCCTCCGCCGATCGGGCGCGGTCCGTTACTCGCAGGGCGCAGCTGCGCACCCAGGCGCAGCTGGACCCGGCCCGGTGTTCCGATGCGATGCCGACGGCTCCTGTCGACTAGACGTAAGAGTGACCTTTCGCCGGAGTGACCTTTGGTGCGGGCACAGATGGGTCCCCAGATGGCTAAAAGCGAAGCAGTAGCAGTTGCTTGCGCGCCCAGGTTTGGTCCCCCCGCGGCCCCAAAGAAGTCGCGCACCAAACGTCACTCTTACCCAGGGCCACTCTTACGTGTAGCCAAGGTGCGGCGGAGGAGGGGGGCCTCTCTTGCTGCCCGCCCTCCCCTGCCCGCACCCGCACCTGCAGAGCCTATACGCCCCCTGAGGTCCTTCAGCTCAGCGATCTGGCCCCTGAGTGTCTCCATGGCGACTGGGGAAGCGAGGATTACTGAACTGATGGATTTCGGTAATTATGCCAGGACACCGAAATCCATCAGTTCAGTAATCCTCGCCTCCCCAGTTGCCATGGAGACGCTCAGGGGCCAGATCGCTGAGCTGAAGGATCTCAGGGTGCGTTTCCTGGATTGGGCCCAGGAGCATCGCCGAGTGCATTCCACTACTCGCAAAGTGCCTACTCGCAGACGTCCGAACAACCATACGTCAGACTGTGTGCAATCTACCGTAAATCCCCCGCGGCGGATCCAGGCCACTTGCGAGCAGTTGCTTTGCGAGCAGTGGAAGGCGCTTGTCAAGAGCAGCACCACCCCCATGCGTGATTTGCTCCATCCGCGGGCCCCCAAGGCATCTGCGCTTCTGCGCGCTTCGTGCTCCACGAGATGGGCAGGGGATCGACCATGGGCCTGTTTCCCACCACCACCACCACCATAAGTTTGAGGGGGAAGGGGGTCCTCCTCCTCCTCCTCCTCCTCCTCCTCCTCCTCCTCCTCCTCCTCCTCCTCCTCCTCCTCCTCCTCCTTCCCCCCTCCGACTCATGGTGGTGGTGGTGGTGGTGGTGGTGGAAGACAGGCCCCTCAACAGAAAGGGACTTTGCCCCAGACCTGATTTGTCCGTCGAGTCGGGGCGAATCGACTCTGCAGTCGATCCCCCTGCTCGCCGCTCGAGCGGGCGTCCCTCCGCCCGCCGACGTGCCCGACCGCCGCGGGCGCGGCGGGCGGCGGCGCAGGCCGGCGGCGAAGGCAGCAGCGGGCAGGCCGGCGGCCAGCGGAGGGGAGGAGAGAGGGGACAGGTGCAGGCACGGGGCAGGGGAGGAGGGGCCAACAACACACACAGACACCGTTGATCGTCGATGCCCCAGAGAACATATGGGAGAGTGTGGGAAGTGGTGGGGATGACAAAAACACCCAGAGCCTACTGGGGAAGGATGGGGAAGTCTTTTCTTTGGTTTGTGTGTATTTGTGTGTGTGTGCGTCCCAGGGCCCCTTCCGCACGGGAGCACCGCGTGGGCATGGCGGACGGCCGCGGCCCTCGGGCCGCACCTCGGCCGCCCCGGGGCTGCCCCAGCACGAGCGAGGGGCGGAGGGCGCCGTCGCGCCCTCCTCTCTGAGCTCCCCGCGGGGGTCCAGCGAGCTCCTCGAGGCGATCGCCGACGTCCGCAGGCGCTTTCTCTCCCCCAATCCCCAGGTTCTGCCCGAAACGTTTAGCCGCTCAGAAAATGGGGGGAACCCTGGGATACACTCCAGGGGGGCCATTCGGACGCACCCCTATCTGGGATGGACGCCACCGCATTGTATATCCTAGGGTTCGGCCTCAAATGTTTGGTCCGTTCGAAAACCCCACGAAACCTAGGATAGGGGTCGACACATCCCGTGTTAGACGTCCCAACTCTGGTGGAGGCTGGGGCGTGCCAGCGTTGCGGTATGGCCGCTGCGGACAAGCGGCGGGGAGCGTCTGGGTGCTCCCGCGGCTCAGTCGTACGTCAGCTGCCGATAGCGGTTCGACCCCGCTGAACGGTATGCAGTCGACGTTGGCATTGGGTTTGGCCCGGGGCTAGCTGAGTGCCATGTCGTAGATGGTCCTGAGGCCTGCCGTCGGTTTCTTGGCCTTGGTGCCGATCTGGCGGCGCGATGACTCATCAGCCAGAGCGTCTCGCGCATGTGCCACGAGGATTGGCATGCTCCACTATGGCGCTGATGCCGATGACCAGGCAGACGGTCGCCATCATGATGGTCGTCCTGTAGAGCGGATTGCCGAGGTCGAGCTGCTTGCGCTCGCGCGCTGTGGCGGCCGCGATGCCCCAGGGCAGCTGCTGTGTGCGGAGCGGCCGCGGCTGCTGACCCTCCTTGACCTCCTTCCACCTGGCTGCGCTCCACGACTCACATGGCGGGCCCGCCACAAGGCATAACACCTTGCCTGCCCGGACGGCCGCGGCCCAGAAGTTTATGGTTTTCTTCTTGGTCTTGTCGCCCGTGTCGGCGTTGTTGGCAATGTCCAGGCTGAGCACCGCCACGGTCATGCCCAGGAACTGCTCGATGTGCCTTTGTAGGTCCCCTCGTCGGCGGGGGCCGTTGAACAAGTGCAGAATGTAGTGCGCCGCTGGGGGACGTGGCACTGGCACCGGACACGGGGCACCTGATTCAGGTGTTTCTAGGCACCGCTAGTCTGTCAAGGAGCCCGCGGGAGCTTCGGGCTCCTCCAGCGAGTCGACCTGATTTGCTAGTAGAGCCAGTTGCCTCTGCCAAGTACGGTGTCTAAGTTGATCTGCTTGCCAGGATGAATATCGCGCCCACGCTCTATTGGTAAGAAGATGGCCATGATGCGGTGACATCTGCGAAAAGTGGTGAGTCTTGAGGCCTCCCTTTGTCCATGCAATGCTCGTGTAGCCAGCACAGATCCTTAGCGATACGTTGCTCCAAGATGCTGGGTCCAGCCAGTCGAGGCCTAGTAAATATTCAGCTGCTGGCTGGCAAAGTGGCAAAGTTTCACTAGGTGGCGTAGCCACTTTTGTCGTAGTACTGCAGATAGCGGCTGTTGGTCAGCGCTAAGTAGGGACCTCGTCGTCTAGCGTGTGCGAGTCTGGTGCCAGGTTCATGTTGACAGCGCTGGCGTAGTTGGCTGCTGTTGAGATTCTCTCACACCTAAATGTTGAACAGCTGGCTTGAACTACCCAGGGAGCTCGCGTAGCTGACCTTGGCCGCCTTTTCGATGTCCACTTCGTTGACCGTGCGCCTCAGTGGTCCAAATGCGCCCTTGGCAGACATGGCACGCCTGGCATCGTCGGGGCCATCGCTGAGGTCGTCCGCCTGTTTGCTGCCCAAGCTCGCGGCTGCCCGCACGATCGGCGCGTGCACTCCAGGTTCCGTGACCCGTAGCTCGGGGCCGCCTTCCGCGGAGGTGTCTTGCTTGAGTTTTCTTGAAGCTTAGCCGAGCAGGGCGACGTGGATCTCCGTCTTGTCAAAATTGATAGCGAAGCCGTTGGCACGCACGTGGGTTTCCAAGATCTTGGCTGTCGCGCAGAATAGATGCAGTGCCTGAAAGTTGTCTTTGAGCATCAGCGGGTAGGCCGCATCGTCTACAGAGAACTGCTCATCTCTACGTTGTACTGAGCCGTCTGCTGTACAAATCCTTGACGCTTCGCGTCTCCCGTTGGTCTTGGCGCCTGCTTCTCGTGGTACGTCTACGAGCTGGTGGTCCCTTTCTTCCAGTTCGCTCGCGGTGTCGTTGAACCTGAATTCTTCGCCATTTTGGCGCTGAACTCCGCCTGGCGGCTCCCCCCAGTCCACGGTGCCCTCTTCTGAGCGGCAGCGAGGCCCGCCTCCGGTTAGTTCCTCCTTCCGCTGTCCTCTCTCTGCCCGGTTTCCTCTCTCCTGGTGCGCAATTGCTCGTAGCCCGCTTTCTGCGCTTCTGACGGCTTCCGGCGTCTCCCGGTGCGCTTGCGATCAAAAAAATACTCCCGCCAGCCCATCCAACACCGACGCCCAGGCAAGCTGTCTTTGAGCGTCGTGAGTTCCTCGGGGATCCTCTTGAGGCCTCTTGGGGGTTTCGTTGGCGCTTCTTGGAGTCCGCTTGGGCGGTTCTTGGAGCCGTCGGGGCGCCTCTTGGGGTCCTCTTGGGGCGCTCTTGGGAGCTTGAGCGGCGATCTTGGAGGCAGTTTGGAAGACATCGAGCGGGCCCCGGGGCCCCAAAAAGTCGACGAGCAGCCTCCGGCGCGGTCGGCATTCCTCCTCTTCGTGCTCTGCCTGCCGTCCGTTCCTCGTTCTGCTCGCCTGGGCAGAAATCGCACATACTGAGGGCCCTGATAGAGAAGCCCGCGAGATAGCAGAAGCGAGGGCATCTTCGAAGACCGCGCCTCCTGGGTTCACGACCCCACCCGCCTCCTCCGCCTTGTCCAGCCCTCCGCTTGCATCCTCCTCGCTTCCGCCTCGCGATCACGTGCGAGCTACGAGCCCTGCCCTTGCGGTCTCAATTACAGTTGTGGTATCGGACGCCCATGTTGGGGTTTGACTTGGCTGCAGGCATCCCTCGGATTCTGAGTCCCCACAGGCGTTTCAAGAATCTGCCTCGCAGGGTCAGGGTTCTCGCCGCCCTTGACCTCATCCGTGCTCTCGCCTCCGCCCTCAGTCTGCGCCGACTCCGTATTCTCGGCTTCTCAGTTTTGCCTCCTCTCGTTCTCCGCCCCCTGCGCCTTCACCGCCGTCCTCGGCCTTCTCCATGCCCTCGTCCTCCTCCCCTCCGCCACACCCGACTCCCCCGCGCGCTGCAGTTGTTCCCCTCCGTTCTCTGGCCTTCTCCTCGCCCCCTTCGGCCCAGGCCGCCCGGGCCCTGGCTCGCCTCCTGGGCCTCTGGACTTCGCCGAGTTTGCATTGCGCTGGGCGTTTCGACGCCGCTGGTGGATGGTGGCCGTGCTGCAGCAAACGGTCCCCTGTGCGCTGCGACCGCGCGCGGAGCGACAGGTGCCAGCGGCCTCCGCAGCGTGCAGCCCCACCAGAACGCCTTCCTGCAGCAGCGTGGCGCTGACCTGCCGAAGGAGAAGGCCCCCCTTCGTCCTCCTGACCCGGAGGGGGCTCCTCCACCATGTCCTCCTCCCTCTTCCCACCTCCTCCTCCTCCTCCTCCTCCTCCTCCTCCCTGTCCTCCCGGCTCCTCTCCCTCCTCTCCCTCCTGCGGCCTCCTCTGTGTTTGTCGCGCCCCCCCGCTCTCCCTGACCCTTCTCCTGCTCCTTGTTTCTCCTGCTACCGCTTCCTCCCCTGGGGCCGAGCTCATGCCTGCTCCCCCTTTGATTTGTTTTTGCATTGGGCAAACTTCGGGAACACAGCCTGTAGCGTCCGTGCGCAGACTATGCGGATGCCGACTTGAACCACGAGGCCAACAGCTTGTACCTGGCGGGCGCGGTAAAGAGCCTCCCAGGCTTCCTGCTCCTGCCCGTCACCTCCCGTCCCCGGTCCGCCCGCCCACACCACCACCGCTCACGTTGCATCTTCGGGGGGCCTCGCATGTCCCCAGCATTGGTGTCGTTTCTTGTGCCCGACGAGGGCTCGATGCGGACTCGACGCGGATTTGGCGTGGATCCGACGCGAATTCCAGACGTTTCCGACACGGATCCGACGAGTCCGACACGGATTCGACGCGGATAGGGTCGCGACGGGACAGTCAAGGTTCCCCCAGGATGCAACATAAGGCCCGCCCCCCCCCAACCCACCACCGCCATTCCGTGACATGCGGCGGTTCCCAGTCCTCTTTGCTGCCCTCTGCCGGCCCAGCCGTGCGCCGTGCGCATGGGGGAGGGTCCCCACGCAGGCGCAAATGAGCGTCGATTCCAAGCAGAATGTGGAAGATTTGGGAAGTGGAGGGGAAGCGGAACATCCAGAAATTGTGAAACATATGGGGGATCTTGGGATTTGTGTCTGTTTGTTTGTTCTTCCGCCCCGTGTGATCATACCATTTGCCTTGGCTCCGATGCTTTCCACTTTTTATTATTCCGTCCTCCTCATCTGTTCCCCGCTCTCCGTCGTTCCTCCACATCCTCGAATCCTCCTTCAGCGGGGCAGTGCAACCTCGGGCTGGGGGCGGCGGGGCAACGCGAGGCTTCTTATTGTTCTCTCGCGCTAGATTACAGTCCTTCTATATCCTCAGGATGGGGATGATGAGGAGGAGGAGGGAGAGGAGGAGAAGGAATAACAACATCATATGAGTGAGGAGGAAGAGGAGCTAGAGAAGACGTACGCGATTCCAACGATGATGGCGATGATGATGATGACGATGATGATGATGACGAGGAGGAGGAATCCTTCATAACGGATACATGAGGAGTCCGTAAGATGGGATCCCGAAGGGGGGATCCCTAGTAGGGAGTATTTACGACATAATCCTTCATAAGGAATAATAGCGAAGGAACTCGTAACAAATAATCGATGCCACGGAATCCTTACTCAGGAATATGTACGAAGGAATCCTTAGTAAGGAATCTTTACCGAGGAAACCTTATTGAGGACCCTTACATGGGAAATTCGTAATAAGCAATCTTGCATTCAGAAACTAAGGAACCCTTCAAACGAATCTTGAAAGAGGAATGCTTAAGAAGGAATTCTATGTGAGGAACCTGTCATAAGGAGTCGCCGAGGTATCCTTTTATAAAAGGGTCCGAATCAGGGAGTTATTACTCATTAGTATATACCCAGGAAACCATACTGAGGAATGCTTGCGACGGTAATGTGATTAGGGAATACAACATTAACAAGGACCTTTCATAAGTAACCCTTACTAAGGCATTCCGAGGAAGCTTTGCTGACCTAGTGAATTCTTAATAAGGAATATTGGTTCGAGAACCAGCCACGAGGAATCTTGAATAAAGAATATTAACCCAGGAATTCATTATACGGGATCCGCACAAAAGGAAATTTAGCAAGGCACCTTTGATAAGGAATCCGAATTAAGAAATCCTTCGCAAGTAACCTTTACTGCGGACTCCATCGTAAGGAATCCAAACAACGGAATCCTGAATAAGGAGTCAGTATTAAGGAATGTTTTATTTGTAATATTCAAAAAAGGAACCTTTCATAAGGAACATTGATCCAGGCACCCTTTTATCAGACCTCCTTGATCAGGAATTTTCTCCAGAATCCCTCAAGCGGAATCCTTTGCAAGGAATCTTAATAAAAAAGGGGCCATACAGGGGTCCCCAACGACAGGGCCTTTTTGAGGTTGATTCGAACATCCTTAACGGCTGAAAAATCCTTAGTTACCGATGCGATAAATCTGTAATAGGGAGTTGCACAGGAATCCGTAATAAGGAATCTCAGCTAAGGGGCTCAGAGAGAAGTATTGCGAGGGAGGCTGCGGCGAGCACTGGGGCCTGCAAAACCCCCCAAAACACAAAACAGCGTTTCCACACATTACGGTTCCTTACACCAAGGCGCCAACTACTGCGGATTGTTGGTTGTTCCGGCTGTATGCAAGGAAACACGAGTTTACGAAGCGGCCGAAAACGCGTTCCGACTAGGAGGAGTCGAACACGAACCCATTATCAAATTGTTGACGGTTCGCGAATCCCCACCAGCATGCGGAGCATTTTGCTCAGTGCATGTGCACTCCACGCATCGCGTGTAATTTGCCGTGTTCCGTTGCCCCGGACATCGCTGTTGCCGGCTGACCTTTGTCGCGCGGCCGCCGACCAAAAAAAGACATCCCCACCAGCGCCCCTGGCAGCCCCTGGCAGCACCTGGCAGCCTCAGGTTGTCGCACGTTTGCAGCCTCTGGCAGTCAGCAGCCCACAGCCCCTTCCCCTCGGCTTCTTCCTGGTCCTGGGCTGAGGCTCGGCGGTAGGCTCCCCCTGCTCTTGCTAGGTAAGTTAGGCCCTTGCGCGGCCCGCTCGGACCTTGACACGCCGTCGGCGCGCTCGCCTGCGGCTGGCAACAAAAAGAACCCCCACCAGCCCATCCAGAAACGATCCCACCAGCCCATCCAGAAACGATGCCCAGAGGAAGTGGGCAGCACACAGAGGAAGCCATTATGAGACATCCTTGGATATCTTGAGCCATCTTGGAGGTCATTTTGGGCTCCCCCAGGCGCTACTGGAATTATCTTAATCAGTGCCCCCAAGAAAGGCCAACATGTGGTTAAAACCTGCGTGCCATCAGTGACTTGGCATTGTCGCGGGGGCCTCTTGGAGCATCTTGTGTGCCCCGGGGGGGCCCCTGGGGGGCCTCTTGGGGGCCTCTTGGGAGTCCCTTGGGGGCCTCCTGGGGGCCTCTTGGGGGCCTCTCGGGGCCATCTCGGGGCCATCTTGGGACCTCCTGGGGCCTCCTGGGCGCTTCTTGGGGCCATCTTGGAGGAGATCGATCAAACAAGAGGGGGCTTCAATTAGGGCCCCCCCCATCAGGAGGCCAAAATGGGGCCAACACCCTGGTAAAACCAATGAGTTGCGCTTCCTCGCCGAGGCCGTTTTGGACGCCCTGACACCTCGCGACCTCTCTCCCCTCCAGGTCCAGGGAAGGGGGTGTGGGGGAGGGGTTAATCCCTCCCCGAAGGGGAAGAAGGAGGGGTGGAAGAGGAAACGCTTTAAACCACCGACGCCCAGAGGGCTGGTGGGATTCAGCGCACCGTATGCCAGGAACAAGCTGTTATTTCGCCAAACCACTGTTCGAACTGAGCCCGCTTATCCTTCGCAAGGGGGAACCTATCGACCCGATCACAGTGCAGCCCAGACAGAGGACACAGGAGAGTAGGCCGCCCCTGGTTTAATTGGGCGGAACTAACAAAAACTGAATACTGGAAAGCTGTCCGAGGATCGCTACCGCCATCTCTACACTTCGCAGAGGTAGATCCCACGAGGCCCGTCCACACCCAAGCTGTCCGAAATGCCGCCCAGAGACAGTTGATTATCTAACCGTCGTCGTCACCCTGATGTCTTTGGTTTGTTCTCCCCGGTCATTTGCGTCTTCTCCCAGTCCTTCCCCCCCTTGCCCCATACCCGCTAGTGCTCGAAGGGATGCATTGGGACAGCCGACAGGCATTACGCTCCGTCACGCACGCGCCTCGGCACCCGCAGCGTTGGGCGCGGAAGCGCGGCTCTCGCGCGTCATTTTAGCACCTTTATGTATATACACATGTACATATATATATATATAGATTAGTGTGTTTGGGGGGGTCGCAGGCTCACCGTGCAGTGCTGCTAGGGAGGCTGCGGCGAATAACGGGGCCTGCGAAACCAACACGACACATTGTGCTTCGTGGCGTCACAAACCAAACAAGCCGAACAAAACGACCATACACAGTGTTTCTTGGCTCTGGCGGCGCCAAACACTGTCTGGTATGGTTTTGCATGTCTACAAAGAGAAGGAAAGGAGGAGGAACAGGAGGAGGAGGAGGAGCAGGAGGAGGAGGAACAAGAGGATGAAGTGGAGGGGGAGGTGGAGGAGGAGGAGGAGGAGAGGGCGACGGAACATAGGAACGGGAACCCAGGAAACAAACCAAACAAAAAACAACGAAGAGAGGTATGATCACAGGGGGCGACCGTTCGTTTGTGTGTTTTGGGGGCCCTTCACAAAGTGTGATCCAGCGGGGGGCTTGAAGGCTTGGGATTGATTTCCGCCCTCTCCATACTCTCCGCCGCTCCCGTTTCCTCTCATCTATTCGTTTTGCCTTTGCCTTTCTGTGGTGTCTCACACCTGCTGTATCATTGAATCACGTTGCTCACTCCGCTGGCCCACCGTGTATGTAGGGCTTCAGTGGCCTACGCCAAGACCGTGTCATGGATAAGAGGCCTTGGTGGGAGGTTTGTTGGGGTCTCGTGGGACGCTTCTCTGGGTCCTCGTGGCGGCATTTGGAGGCCCCTCAGGGCTAGTCTTGGGGGCCTCTGGGGGCCTCTCGGGGATTTTTGAGGGCTTGCTGGCGATCTCGTGGGTCATCGTCGGGGGAAAGGGCTCCAGATGGTAGTTCGGATTTCCCTTTTGGAGGCCCCCCTTTGGGCCAGCTTTGAGTCCTCCTGGGAGCCTTTTTGTTGGGTTGTCTTGGGGCGATGTTAGGGGCCTCCTGTGCCGTCTTGGGAGGGCGGAAGCACGAACAGGTGATAACGCGAAAATCTGACAGATACGAAAGGGTGTTCAGGATGTTTGCCCCTCGATGCCCTTCTTGGGCGTTTTGTTGAAGCTCTCTTGAGGCGTTTCGGAGGCGTCTCGGGCCATCCAGAGATCATCCAGGGCGTTTTTGAGCGCTCTGGAGCCGTCTCGGACCAGTTGGGGCTCTCTTGGAGGTCCACTGGAGCGCTCATGGAGCGGTCTGGGGGGCCTGGAAGGCCGCACCCAGGAGGAGCACCATTTCTGGCCCTGGATCGGCAAGGGTATTTTTCGACCAGAGACCCCACGGACGGTCCCGTGCGCTCGAATTTGACACGTGTTTAAACCCGTTGCGGGAGATTTTAGCACGCCTTTGGTCCGCTGGGCCCGGACATTCAGTGGTTATGTTTCTCCCTCTCGCTCTCTCTCTTTCTCTGTGTTTCCGTTTTCTTGTCCACATATATATATATAGAAACATGGGTACGATTCTACATATAGGGTATATTTACATGCATATATTGTTTTATATATCTATATATGTACGCACGTATGTACACATGCATACGCATACATTGTACACAAATAGCTATATGCATACATACGTATATACAAACAAACATACATGCATACAACGAGATACATATCTATATATATATACATACATATATATGTATGTATATATATAGGTGTGTGTGTGTGTGTGAACATGAAGTTGTACATATAATCATACATATCGAGAGGTACATGTTGTCATGTAGGTTCCTCTCTACTCTATGTTTCTCCTCTGTGGCCTTCTACTTCGTTTTCTTCGGTCACGCTGTGCCGCAGGCGCCAGCGGGAACGCGCCAGCCGCCCCTGCCCTGCTCGACTGCGGCGGCACAGGGACGCACGCCGAAGCAGCATGCGCTCCCGGAGAGAGGGCTCGCCGGCGGGGAGGGCGAGTCCGGACGGGCCCCGCGGCCCGAGTCCTCCGTTTTTTTTTTTTTCCTCCAGCGGGGGCGGTGCGAGAGCACGAGGGCTGACGCGCCTCGCGCGGCGATGGGCGCGAAGCTCACCGTCGCTGGGACGTCCATTTCCCGTGCATTTTTCGGTCTCGTGGGTGTTTTTGTTTTTGGCTCGTTGGTCGAGGGTGGTCCTCGATGGTTCTCGCCGAGGAAAAGTGCACACGTCCACGCGATGCCAGGGAAGTCGTGAGACCAATTCATGGGCTTATGCATGTTTGTAATTCCAGACATATGCAATGATGTAAGTTACACTTATAGTCTGTGAATATATATATATATATTTATATATATATATGGATGTGTATGTGTATGTGTAGTTTGTATATATATATATACATATATATATATATATGTATATATATATACCAACGTAATGTACATGTGGTCGTACGTATGTTTGCACTTGTGTTTGCGTTGGATTATTTCTCTGTTGCACCCCCTCTCGCCCCTGCCGCTGAGGTCTGGGGCGAGCTCGCCATGGCCCAGCGCATCAAGAACCAGCAGAATCAGGGCGCCTGCGGCAAAGTCCGTCACCATGCCAGCGCAGTGCAGTCCAGATGCTGACCCAAGGGCCGCTGCGGTTCGGATGCAACTCCTGGGAGGTCAAACTCTGAACCTTGGTCCGAAATCTGGATTTATCCGGCTTGATCCCGCTGAATCTGGTTGAATCCCGCTTAATCCGGCTCACTCCCGCTAGATCCGCGGCCCAATTCGGCGTAGCAGCCCCCCAAATGGGGTTTAATTCGAGCATGTTCTTTGCGGGGAGGGCAAAGGGTGAAGTCAGGAAAGTCGTTTCGATTGGTTTTCGAGGCTTGAGTCTGCAAAAGGTGAATCACAAGACAGGTTGACTTTCGAGGTGCAAAAGCCCATCTGGATTTCCACCTGAGCCCTCCACCCTGAGAACATGCTCAGTTCATCCTCTGATGGTCTCCGCGACGAAGAGCTCCCAGCAGTTGCCTCCGAGCTGTGGGCTCACGAGGAGCCTGTGGTTCTCGGGCCGGTCCCGAGATCTACGTCGTGGGAGCCTGTTCGTGCCCCAGGCTCCTCGTGGCCAGCAGGGCCCGCTCGTTCCGTGTGCGGCGCTCGCTGCGGCAGCTCGCTGGCTGTGTGGCTGTGCTCTCCTGTGTGGTGACGCGCCGCCCAGGGGGCTGCAGCGTCTGGCACCTCTTCGTCGCCCTAGGCCAGGTCTGTTCCTTGGGGCGTGTTTCGCTATTGCTTGGGGCATCGTGGGCATGAGAGCCCCGGGCCCCCCCCCTGGCCCCCCCCCTTCTACATCCGCTCCCACACAGTTCGTACACCGCTACCCCCATAGAGCGGATTCGTGCGAGACGCCTCTCCGATGGAGGGCTCCGCTCACTGGCTTGGATGGAGTGCCGAAGTGCCCCTTCACAGGCGCAGTCGTCTTGTTTCACCCTGCTCGCGCGCCGTCTGGCGCAAGGCTTCTGACCTGACCCCCCCCCCCTATAACGTAACGCCCTTGCCCCCCCCAGTGCGCTCCGGGCGCTCCGGGCGCTGCCGCCGTGCACACGGCAGAGTGGAGGCGTTACATTGTCCCCCCCCCCCCATATCCCCTCCCCCTTCCTATGATTCGGAGGTGGATCGACCTCCTACCCTGACACGTCGATTAAGGAATTGGCCGTTTTCGGTTCGCGAGAGGGCGTCGCGGCCGTCATTTTTGCGGGTCCAGGTCCGTCGGTTTCGGTCCCAGTCCGTTTTCACTAAGGGCAGGTTTATTAAAGGGAGATTCGTTCACCGCCGAATGATGCACATTATCGCCGACGTCTGGCACCTCTTGCCCTATAGGCTATCTCTTTTCTCTGGAGGGCTCTCGTGGGGCCTGCGTGGGCCACTTTGGAGAGGTGGTGGGGCTCCCGGTGGGCCGCCCTCGGTCGCTCATAGGCACTCGGGGTGCCTTCGTGGGCCATCTTGGGCGCCTCTCGATCGTCCTGGGAATCTTCTGGGGATGTCTTGGGGGCCTCCAGCGGCCCTATTCGAGTTGTCCTGAGTCATCTGGGGTGCTTCTTGGAACAGTCGTTGGGTTCTTTGGGCATCTCTTTGTGTCCTCCCATGTCTTCTTGAAACCTACTAGGAATCTTCCGGCTAGTTCTGGCATTCCTGGATGGCCTTTTGGAGCCCTTTGGGCGCCTCTTGTGTTCTTCGGGGTTGCTGGGTGCTGCTGGAGGCAACGTTGTGCCACCTGGGCGGCCTCGGCGGTCGGTTGGGCGGGACCAGTGAGGGCGTGTCGCGTGGGGGGAGGGGCTCGGAGTACTTGCATCGGTCGTCTGCGGCCACTTGCGAACCCTACCCCTGCGGGTCCAATCTACGCGGGGTCATCGAACACCCCCGCGGCGGTTCTCCAGGCTGCAGACACTCTTCGACTTTGAAGCCCAGCTGGCGTTTCAGAAATCTGACCTGCATCGGTAGGGTTCACATGCGCTACAGTCGAAGCTGAGAGGAAGGATTAAGGATGATCGATTTCCCAAGGGTACCCTTGCATCCTTGTCTCTTCGGTCATCGCCGGTCATCCTCAACCGCTTTAAATGGCCAGCCCTGCTCGAAAAGCTTTGACATGGGCGTCGAAGGCCATTGGATCCTTATCGCGTATCCTTAGTACCAATTTCGACTGTAGTGCCCTGCCAGACAGCACGTGGCACTGCACGACGCCTATCTGCGCGCTTGAGGGCGCGGAGGCGGACTGCGGCAGCTGCTGGGCCATCGCCGTCTCCTCGGTGCTCGAGGCGGGCCGACCTACCCTGTCTCAAGGGCGCACCTCGCGCACCTCCTTGCTGCGGCCATCCCGCTTCGCCATCGCACACGTCTCGCCATGTTAGAGAAGGGGGTGTCCTGCGGTGAAGCGGGTTATGAGGTTTTCCACCGCTTGTGGCACCTCGGGGCCTTCCTCGGGCTCTGCGACTGTTAGAAGTCGAGTCAGGACGGACAGCTGGTCCTTGGAGAAGGCCCCAGGTGTCTAGGACCCATTTCTCTCACGACCCGTTGTCTTCACTGAACATCCCGCTTTGGCGCGTCTCTCAGGACCCGTTGTCTTCACTAAACATCCCGCACTGGCGCGTGCACACCGCACATGCTCATCCCCATGCATGCGCAGTGCAGTCAATCCGATAAAAGAAGGACCACGTTTGGCTCAGGAGGAGCTCTGATTTTCTGGCAGGTCTTTAGGTATAGATCGGGGAACCTATTCGTGGCCGAGGCTCGCCGTTGCCGCGTGCCTTGGTAGCCCTACGGCTGTATGCGATCAGTCATGTGTGCCCACGCATCCACGCGCAAAACTACGGGTGCGTCTGCACGAGAAGCGCTCACGTCCCTTCCACACACACAGGCAGACACACAGAGACAGACAGACAGACAGGCAGACAGACAGACACGCAGACAGGCAGACACGCAGACAGGCAGACAGGCAGAAATACAGACACGCACGCGCACGCGCACGCACACGCACAGGCGCACGCACACACACACAAGCGCGCACGCGCACGCACACGCACACGCACACGCACACGCATACGCATATGCACACGCACACGCGCACACGCACGCGCACGCGCACACGCACGCGCACACGCACGCGCACGCGCACGAGCACGCGCACGCGCACGCGCTCGCGCTCGCGCTCGCGCACGCGCCTTCGCTCTCGCACGCGCACGCGCACAGGCACACGCACGCGGACGCGCGCACACATGCACATACGCACACACACGTGCGCGTGTTCGTGCGCCTGCGTCTGTGAACGCGGCGAGGCTAGTGTGCACATTCGCATCCTGCTGCGCACAAAGCACAGAAACACACATTCACATTCACACACACACACACGCACGCACGCACGCACATTCACTCATACACACACACACACACCTTTTCTCCGACGCGCTCCTCTGAATTCAAGCGACGGGCGCACGGTAACGGGACGCGTTCACCACGGATCGGCGTCCTTGTAAGTTGGTGCGGCAAGTCTGCAGGCATGGAGGACGCGAGCAGGCGCCATTAATCATTCGCACGCACACACCCGCACACACACACACACACACACACACACACACACACACACACACACACACACACACACACACACACACACACACACTCACGCACGCACGCACGCACGCACGCACGCAACGCACCACACACACACACACACACACGCGCGCGCCGCACGGCACACGCACACGCACACGCACGCGCACGCGCACGCGCACGCGCACGCGCACGCGCACGCGCACGCGCACGCGCACGCGCACGCGCACGCGCACGCGCACGCGCACGCGCACGCGCACGCGCACGCGCACGCGCACGCGCACGCACGCACACTCGTGTTACTCGTCCGGCGGGATGACGGCACGGCCGCGAGGAACGGTCGGGGACAGTCAGAGCCGTTACAATTTCCATCAGGCGTTGCAGGTGGGAGGGTCCGCGCAGCAGCGACCTGGCGTGCAGATAGGAAAAGAGTGAGCCCCACCCAGAAATGTGGACGGCGCGGGCGGAGCCCAACGGTTGCGTGCGGGAGGGTTGCGTGTCATTCAAGTTGAATTTTCTTGAGCCGGCGGCTTCGTGCCCAGCAACGTGGTGGTGACCGTGGGTGAGGGCCGCGGCAAGCGGGAGGGAAAGAGGGACCCATCAGAAGTGGCGACCGGGGCGGGGAGAGCTGAAGACGGACGCAGGAAGGGGCGAGAGGCAGGATGTCAGGAGTGAAGAACAGGCGCAAAGACGCAAGTAAACGCTGGTCTCCATGCAGAGATGGGAAAGCACGGGGAACGGGGGGAATCAGAAACTGCTGGGAATACGGAACCTGTTGTGAGCTCTTGGAGATGTCTCGATGTATTTGTGTCCCCCCTGGGCAGGCAGGAGGCAGGAGCGGCGGCGCGAGGCACACGTGCAAATCTACACGGGCAAGGCGCGGACTTTCTCTGCGCAGCAGATCGTGGAGCCCCCGAGGGCGGGGGGGCGGAGAGGCGATGGAGGAGGAGGAGGAGGAGGGAGGGAGGGAGGGAGATGGAGATGAAGGAGGAGGAGGAGGAGGACTGAGAGTGAGGATGAGGATGATGATGAGGATGAGGATGAGTGTGATGGTGGTGGCGATGATAATGATGAGGATGAGGATGAGGATGAGGTTGAGGATTGGGATGAGGTTGAGGACGATGAGGATGAGGATGAGGATTATAATGATGATGAGGATGAGGATGTGGGTAAGGATGATGCTGATGAGAATAAGGATTAGGATGATATTGAGGATGAGGTCGATGATGCTGATGATGATGCTGATGATGATGGTGCTGATAATGATGATGGTGGTGGCGATGATAGTGACGATGAGGATGAGGACGATGAGGATGAGGATGATGATGCTGATGATGTTGATGAGGATGATGATGATGATGATGAGGATGGTGAGGATGAGGATGCTGATGATGGTGACGATGAGGATGAGGATGAGGATGAGGATGAGGATGAGGATGATGGCGGTGGCCATGATGATGATGATGAGGATGAGGGCGATGAGGAGGACGATGAGGATGAGGATGATGGTGATGCTGATGCTGGTGAGGATGAGGATGAGGATGATGCTGGTGCTGCTGTTGATGCTGATGCTGATGATGATGATGGTACTCATGAGGATGCTGATGCTGATGATGATGATAGTGGTGGCGATGATGATGGGGGTCATAATGATGATGATGATGATCAGAATGAGGATGAGGATGCTGATGACGAACATGATGGTGATGCTGATGATGCGGATGATGATGAGGATGATGATGCGGATGATGATGAGGATGATGATGAGGGTGATACTGCTGATGATGATGGTGATGATGGTGGTGGCGATGATGATACTGAGGATGATGATGATGATTATGATGATGATGATGATGATGATGATACGGATGAAGAGGATGAGGATGACGATGACGATGACGATGACGACGAGGATGATGATGACGATGACGATGATGATGATGGTGATGACGATGATAGTGATGGTGATGACTATGATGGTGCTGCTGCTGATGATGATGATGATGAAGACGCTGATGATTATCGTGATGATGCTGCTGATGATGGTGATGCTGGTGCTGCTGATGATGATGATGATGATGATGATGATGATGATGGTGGTGATGATGATGATGCTGATGATGATGATGATGAATGTGATGATGACGATGATGCTGATGGTGATGATGCTGATGACGGTGATGATGACGCGTATGCTGGTGATAGTGATAACAATGCCGATGTTGGTGGCTGTGGTGATGACGACAATGATGCTGCTGATGATGATGATGATGATGTTGATGGCGCTGATGATGATGGTGGTGACGATTATGATGATGACGATGATGATGGTGATGATGATGATGATGTTGATGATGATGATGCTGATGCTGCTGATGATGCGGATGATGATGGGGAGGAGGAGGAGGAGGAGGAGGAGGAGGAGGAGGCGGAGGAGGCTCAGAACGCGTTCCAGAAGGCGCGAACCCTCTCGGTGCAGCAGGTCGTGGAGCCCCCGATGGGGGGGGGAGGGTGGTCAGTCGGGGGTGTCCCTGCGGTGGTGAGGGCTCGGGAAAGAGGGGAGGACGGTGTCGTTGGCCCTTGAGATGTTTCTCCATCTCAGGGGGGGGGGGGGGGGGGGTGGGGGGGGGGGGGGGGGAGGGGGGGGGGGGGGGGGGGGGGGGGGGGTGGGGGGGGGGGGGGGGGGGAGATGGAGATAGAGAGAGGCGGAGGAGGAGGAGGAGGAGGAGGAGGAGGAGGAGGAGGAGGAATGATGATAAGGATACTATTGATGATGATGGCGTTGCTGATGATAATGATGATGATGATGCTGGTAATGATGATGATGGTGATGATGATACTGATGATGGTGACGATGATGATGATGATGATGATGCTGCTGATGATGATGATGATGATGATCATGGTGCTAATGATGATGATGATGAGGATGATGGTGGCGACGATGATGATGAGGATGCGGATGAGGCTGGGGATGACGATGATGAGGCTGAGGATGAGGAACAGGATGCGAATGAGGATGAGGATGATGATGAGGATGTGGATGATGCAGATGATGATGACAATAGTGGATGCGGAAGAGGTTGAGGATGAGGATAATGATGCTGCTGTTGATGCTGATGCTGATGCTGATAAGAATGATGATGGTGATGACGATCATGCTCCTGATGCTGATGATGGTGATGGCGATGATGGTCGAAATGAGGATGAGGATGATGGGGATGAGGATGAGGATGATGCTGCTGATGACGAGGATGATGATGATGATGATGTGCAGGATGAGGAGGCGGATGATGATTATGAGGATGAGGATGAGGATGAGGATAATGGCGGTGTCGATGATGGTGATGATGATGAAGAGGATGCGGATGCTGAGGATGATGATGAGGTTGACGATGAGGTTGAGGATGAGGATGATGATGCGGATGATGATGATGATGCTGGTGAGGATGAGGATGCGGATGAGGATAGTGACGCTGACGCTGCTGATGATGATGATGATGGTGCTGATGAGTGATGATGATGGTTGTGGCGATGATGAACATGATGATGATGATGAGGATGATGACGCTGATGCTGACGATGTGGATGATTAGGAGGATGAGGATGCTGATGAAGATGATGAGGATGAGGATGAGGATGCTTGTGATGATGGTGCTGATGATGATGATCATGGTGGTGGCGATGATCATGATAATGAGGATGAGGATGATGAGAATGATTTGGATGATGATGATGAGGATGAGGGCGAGGGTGATGACGATTACGATGATGCGAATGATGATGATGCTGATGATGATAGTGAAGTTGATGATGATGACGATGCTGTTGCTGATGCTAATGAAGATGATGATGACGATGATGATGATAGTGATGATGATGGCGCTGACGAGGATGAATATAATGACAATGAGGATGGGGATCAGGATGATGACAATGATGATGATGATGATGATGATGATGATGATGATGATGATGATGATGCGGCTGCTGATGATGACGCTGCTTATGATGATGATGCTGATGATGATGATGATGATGCTGATATTAATTGATGATGTTGATGTTGAGTTGGTAGATGATGGTGAGGATGAGGATGCTGATGATGATGACGATGGTGGTGGTGATGCTCATGCTGCTGATGATGATGACGACGACCACGCCGATGATGATGATGATGCTGATGCTGATGCTGATGCTGATGCTGATGCTGATGCTGATGCTGCTGATGATGATGATGATGATGATGATGGTGCTGATGATGATGATATTAATTGATGATGTTGATGTTGAATTGGTAGATGATGGTGAGGATGAGGATGCTGATGATGATGACGATGGTGGTGGTGATGCTGATGATGCTGATGCTGATGCTGATGCTGCTGATGATGATGATGATGATGATGATGCTGATGCTGATGCTGATGCTGATGCTGATGATGATGATGATGATGATGATGATGATGATGATGATGATGGTGCTGGTGCTGGTGCTGATGCTGATGCTGATGCTGATGCTGATGCTGCTGATGATGATGATGATGATGATGCGGAGGAGGAGGAGGCGAAGGAGGAGGAGGTGGAGGAGGAGGGCGAGGAGGGCGAGGAGGAGGAGGGCGAGGAGGAGGAGGCTCAGAAGGCTTCCCAGAAGGCGCGAACCCTCTCGGTGCAGCAGGTCGTGGAGCCTCCGACGGGGGGGGGTCAGTCCGGGGTGTCCGTAGGGGGTGAGGGCTCGGGGGAGGGGGGAGGAACTTTTCGCTGGCCTTTTAGAGGTTTCTCCACCTCAGGGTGCTCTCCAGCAGGTGCGCCTCGCCGAGCGCTTTCCGGGGTTGCCCAGATCGTCCCGATCGGCCGCGGGAGTGTGTGTGTGTGTGCGTGCATGCGTGCGTGCGTGCGTGCGTGTGTGTGTGTGTGTGTGTGTGTGTGTGTGTGTGTGTGTGTGTGTGTCTCTCTGTGCGTCTCTGTGTGTGTGTGTGTGTCTCCGTGTCTGTGTCTGTGCGGCTGCGTTTGCGTGTGCGTTTGCGGTGTGTGTGTGCGTGTGTGTGCGTGTGTGTGCGTGTGTGTGTGCGTGTGTGTGTGTGTGTGCGTGTGTGTGAGTGTGCGTGTGTGTGCGTGTGTGTGCGTGTGTGTGCGTGTGTGTGCGTGTGTGTGCGTGTGTGTGCGTGTGTGTGCGTGTGTGTGCGTGTGTGCGTGTTGCGTGTGTGTGGTGCGTGTGTGCGTGTGTGCGTGTCTGCGTGTGTGCTGTCTGCGTGTGTCTGCGTGTGTCTGTGTGTGTCTGTGTGTGTCTGTGTGTGTCTGTGTGTGTCTGTGTGTGTCTCTGTGTGTGTGTGTGTGTGTCTGTGTGTGTGTCTGTGTGTGTGTCTGTGTGTGTCTGTGTGTGTCTGTGTGTGTGTCTGTGTGTGTCTGTGTGTGTCTGTGTGTGTGTCTGTGTGTGTGTCTGTGTGTGTGTCTGTGTGTTGTGTGTCTGTGTGTGTTGTGTGTGTTGTGTGTGTTGTGTGTGTGGTGTGTGTGTTGTGTGTGTTGTGTGTGTGTCTGTGTGTGTGCGGGTGTGTGTGTGTGAAGGCGTGTGTTTGTGTATGAATATGAGTGTGTGTGTGTGCGTCTGTGTGTGAATGTGTGTGTGTGTGCGTGTGCGTGTGCGTGTATGTATGTGAGTGTGTGCGTGTGTGTCTCCGTGTCTGTGTCTGTGCGTGTGCGTTTGCGTGTGCGTTTGCGGTGTGTGTGTGTGTTTGCGTGTGTGTGTGTGTGAATGTGTGTGTGCTTGTGTGTGTGTGTGTTTGTGTGTGTTTGTGTGTGGATGCCATGGCTCGGGGCATGAGATCTCCCAGAGCTCATGGTCCCATCTCTTTCTCTCCCTGCTCTCCCTGCCCCCCCTCCTCCCTCAGCGCACGGGCCGCGGTGCGCCACTGCCCCCCTCCTCCTGGCCCCGATCGAGGATCGAGGAGGAGGATCTGATCTCGCAGGAGGAGGACTGTGGAGGAGCAGGCGGGGAAGAATAGGAGCGGAGGAGGAGGAGGAAGAGGAGGAGAGGCCTCGGGATGGAAGGCTGTGATCCCTCGCTCAGGGGCACTGGTTCGCGCCCTTTGTGTTCCCCTCCGCCCCCACCCTTCACTCGGGGGTGGCCAACAGGGGGTCGTCGACTGGGGGGGGGGGGCATCATGGCGGGAGCCATGATATGTCCCAGACCTCATGGCCTTAAGTCGGGCGTGTCCTTCTACAGGACGAACATTCTGAAATCGTCGAAATAGTCTGGGGACGATATTTTGTGTGTTTTTGTTTTTGAGTATGTTTTTACTGCTCCCTACTTTCCGTCCAAGATTCCCCTGTAGGGGGACGGGCCAGACCTAACCCTCGCCCTCTTCCAGCATTCCTCCTGGCCCCCGCCCCCCTCCCCCCCCCGGGGCCGCGCGCCTGCCTCGGGCCCTGCCTTGCGAGCCCTCTTGGACGCCCCCCTTGCTTCTCGCCCCCTCCTCCTCCTCCTCCTCCTCCTCCTCCTCTTCCTCCTCCTGCTCCTCCTCTTCCTCCTCCTCCTCCTCCTCCTCCTGCTCCCTCTCCTCCTCTCCTCCTGCTCCTCCTTCTCCTGCTCCCTCCTCCTCTCTTCTTCCTCCTCCTCCTCCCTCCTCCTCCTCCTCCTCCTCCTCCTCTCCTCCTCCTCCTCCCCCTCCCCCTCCTCCCCTCCCCTCCTCCTCTCCTCCTCCTCCTCCTCCTCCTCCTCCTCCTCCTCCTCCTCCTCCTCCTCCTCCTCTCCCTCCTCCTTCTCCTCCTCCTCCTCCTCCTCCTCCTCCTCCCTCCCCCTCCCCCTCTCCTCCCACCCCCCTCCTCCTCCTCCTCATCCTCCTCCTCCTCCTTCTCCTCCTCCCTCCTCCTCCTCCTCCTCCTCTACCTCCTCCTCCTCCTCCTCCTCCTCCTCCTACCGTCTCCTCCTCCTTTCCTCTTGGAGCACTCCCCGTCGACCCTCGCCCCAGCCGCGGCGCGAGGGGCCCCCGCGTCGGGGCCTGGGCGGGCGCAGCGGGGGCGCGGGAGCGGGGGCCCGTGCGCGCTTAGAGCGGCCGGCGGGGGCTACGGGCAGGAGGGGGAGGGGGGCGCGGGGGCAGGAGGGGGAGGGGGGCGCGGGCGGCAGGATCGGAGGTGGACGGACCTCCTACCCCGACGCGGCGAGTAAGGAATTGGCCGTCTTCGGATCGCGAGAGGGCGTCGCGGCCGTCATTTTTGCGGGTCCAGGTCCGTCGGTTTCGGTCCCAGGCCGTTTTCACTAAGGGGAGGTTTGCTAAAGGGAGGCTTGTCCACCGCTGACAGGATCGGACGGGGCCTGGACGAGGATAAGTCCGTTCCAGCGCGTTCCGGAACTTCTCAGAAGGCCGCGGCGCCGGAGACATCCTCCAGAGCCGCGGGATCTCAGAGATGCTCGATTTATCCTCGCCCGAATTTGTCCTCGTCCTGGCTTCGTCTTACAAGAGCGGGAGGAGAGCGTTTTTTCCCCCCCGATCAGTGCTTGCACTGAAGGGGTCCTAGCGGAAATTGAAGGATTTGGCGAAAGTTCCCCGCCGATTTCAGTGGTAGGCTGGGTTCCCGGGTTCCCGGGTTCCAGGTTCCGGGTTCCTTGGTTTCTCGGGTTTCCCAGGCTCCCGGGTTCTTTGCCGATTTTCTGACCGATCGGTCTCACCATCTATCTCATTACCGACTTCTCGATCGATCTTACCATCGATCTCATTATTGATCGCATGTAATAAATCTCACAAGCGATCTCATTAGAGATCGCATAAGCGATTTTTCGATCAATCTCACTATCGATCTCATTGCATCGATTTCACTCTCGGTCTCACGATCGACCTTACAATCGTCCACACTATCGATTACACTATCGATCTCATGATCGATCTCACGATCGGTCTCAAGATCCATAGTATCAATTTTCAAGTCATCCACGGATTGGGGTTTTCTCAGGTGTAGTTGTTGTTCCCCCCTCCCCCCCCACCCCCCCCCATGTTTTCCCCGGGAGAGCAGTCGGCGCCGCCCCAACATGCTGCTACTGTGTGTGCGCGTCGCTCCCCATGGGGCGACGCGCGCCCCGAGAAATAGCGCAGTTTCTGTCTCGTGGCGGGCGCCTTCTGGCCGTAGCGCTCGGGAAACGATATCAAGGGCTCCCCCGAGGGCGCGAAGTTATTCGCGCTTCGCGGTCCTCGTTTCTCCTCCCCCTCCTCCTCGTCCTCCTTTTCTCCCTTTGGGGGGGCGGCGCGAGAGCGCGAAGTTATTCGCGCTTCGCGCTTCGCGCAGCGCGAAGCGCGAACTTAGGAGCCCTTGGATATACTCTACAATACAGTTGTAGTGCATGGTCGGGTCGGGCGCACGCCTCCGAGGAAGACATTGGTACTGCTAGGGGGGGGGGGGGCCAGGGGGGTGGAAGCAAGGGGGGGGGGACTGGGAACTCCAAGGGCTCCCTCGAGGGCGCGAAGTTATTCGCGCTTCGCGCTTCGCGGTCCTCGTTCCTTCTCCCCCTCCTCCTCGTCCTCCTATTCTCCTTCTGGGAGGGCGGCGCGAGAGCGCGAAGTTATTCGCGCTTCGCGCTTCGCGCAGCGCGAAGCGCGAAGTTGGGAGCCCTAGGAACTCGCGGAAGCACGATCGTGGATGAAAGGCGCGTGGGTTAGCGACGGGCCCCGCTTCCGTTTCCAGCGTGTTATCGACGTGTGAATCGGTATTTCGTCGCCGAATCAGGCGGCATTGGCATCGTGCTTCGGGGGGTACCTTCCCCGATCCGTGTCAGTGTGCGCCCGAGGAAAGGGGCATGTACGAAATCTGCTGCATGCAGATGGTTTTGGCCCCGCCGCCAGTGGATTTGCTCCGTGCAGTGGCGCCTCCGGCGCCGGGGGGCGTCGGAGAAACCAGCAACCTGAGTTGATTCGCCAATTCCTCTTTACTAGCCCCCCCTGGCACCCGACCCGAGCAAGGGGCGCGTTCGAGGAGGGAACCGGAGGAGAGAAGTGGCGAGGGGAGCGGGGGTGGATGAGGGGGAGGATCATAGGTAAAGGAGGGGTCGCGGAGGGGAGAGGAGGGGAAGAGGGAACATGCGGAGGAGGGCGCGGCGAGAGGATGGAGGAATGGGCGGGGCAGGACGGGCAGAAAGACGATGAGGCGCGGGAGGGGGGGTGGAAGGGGCAAGCTTTGGCGGCGGCAGTAAAGGGGAGGGTTAATCAGATAGGCGATGAGACAAGTGAGGACGGTCTATAGGTGGGAGATGAGAAGGAACAAGAGGAGGCGGAGGGGAACGATGAGGACGAGGGTGGTATGTCATGATATTGTGAGGGAAGACTGCGAAAACGTGGAGGGGCGATAATGCGGAGGAGCAGGACAGCGGGGTTGATGCGTCCGATTTGATTCCGATGGTGAACAAAGAACAACCAAGGAAGATGGGGGACAGCAGGGAGGAGGACGATCATGAAGGTTAAAAGACGGATACATGGAGACCAAGAGTGAGGTCTTCGTTCGGTTGGGGGACAGAGAAGAGGGAGCAGGACAAGGAGAAGAGATGAGCAATGGAGCAAAGGGTGAGCAATGGGGGATGGAGCGGACGAAATCCCACCAGCGCTCTCATAATCATGACACCTGTCCCCGCCCGCTCCCCCTGGGCCTTACCGCACCCTCTACATTACCATGCACGGCCGCCCTGTGCACAGACCCTGCAACGACCGTTGCAATACATTAGCAAGGTCCTGCAAAACGGCCTTAGGATACCTTGCAATACACTGCAAACCATGCCCCTGCAATTACCTGCAATGCCCTGGGTTGCCCCGCTATGACCCTTCAAGGTTTTCAGTGATGCCTTCTCGCTTGTTGCTTTCCAGGCCTCAACGAGCGAACGAGCAAAGCCACCACAACGGACAGATGCCCGGGCCTAACTAAGACGAGGTGGGAGAGTCCATGGCCTCTTGGATCGGGTACCTATCATAAAACCGACATGCTATGGAAATGCGAGACGCAATGGAAATTTACGACAGAGGAGAGAGGAGGAGGAGGAGGAGGAGGAAGACTTGATTGTGGATGTCGGCCTCCTGCTGCGTCGATGTAGTGGTGAGGGTCCATCAGGTTGAGATGTCTTGAGCCAGGCAGACCCAGGTGAGGTCGTTCGGCTGGCCTCTGCATTGGTTGGTGTGGCCGTTGGGCACAGGTCGGGCTTGCATCTGAGGGCTCAAGGCTGCCCCGCGATCGCCGACTAGAGAATCAAGGGGGGGCCATACGGGCTCCAGTACGGACCCGAGTGGCTCCACCCAACATCGCTCCACGAGCGTCTCAAGCAGACCTTCAGCGGCGATTTCTCTGGCTCCCAGGGTGGATGGGGAGGGGAGGGGGTGAATCGTGGACCCCCCCTCGTTTTACGGAAGCCCTGCCATCATGGGGGAGCCCCCTATCGAGAGTTTCTGGCCCTGCCGGAAATCCGCTGCGCGTGGGAGTGACCCTCGGCCGCAGGGACCCCTCGGCGCGGGAGCCACACGGGCCTCCCCAGCGCCGGCCTGCGCGCCGCGAGCCGGGCCCCCCCGCGGCCCGCTGAGGCCGCGCCTGCGGGTCACTCCTCGCCTCGCTCGTGCCGCCCCTGCGTGCGGCCAGCGAGCCCCGCCCCCTCGAGATCTGCCCGCGTCGGCACAAGGGGCGGCGGCGACGACCGCGAGGGCCAGCCCCGCCGAGAGCGGCCCCTGCCGCCGAGCGGCCCGAGGAGTGCACGCCGAACCCGAAGCACTGCGGCGGCGACGGGGGCTGCCAGGGCGCGCCGCGCGGCAGCGCCGCCGCCCTCGTCGCTCACTAGAGGTCACCCGAAAAGGGGGTCGCGAAGGTCATCGGGCCTCGCGCAGCGCGGCCTGGGCTGGAGAGGCGCCCTTCCTCCCGGGCGGCGGCGCGAGGCCGCGAAGGTGTGAACGCGCGTCGCGCACCGCGGGCCGCGGTGCGCGAAGCTGCAGGCGAATCCGGGGAGCGCTGGAGCCGCGGCACGAGCTGGTCGCATCGCCGGGCTGTCTCTCTGAGCGAGCGGCGGCGAGGGCGCGAAGAGTCGGCCACTACAGAGGGTATGCTTGCGCCATCGGCACCATGGGGGCCGGGGGGCACGACCCTGCCCTCGTCGGGCCTCTTCGGGGCGCGGGAGAACTCTATCGAGGTCCCCGCGCGCCCCCCAGGGTGCCCCCCAGGATGTTCCCCAGGGTGCCGGTGGCAAACCACACCCTTTGCAAACCACACCCTTTGTTTGGAAACTAGAACCTATACATTACCAGTGGCGGGTTATTTTTTCAATCCCAAGACTTTTTGAGGGTCGGGGACGACGTCGGGGTGGTGTGGTGTATACATTTCCCCCGCTTTCCAAGGGAAACAACGAACAAAAGCATACACCAGGATCCCATGTACACCAGAATCAGCGTTCCTGTGCGAACTTGAGCGCAGGGTCGGAAAGCATCGGTGTATAGAGTTCCTTTCCCCATTTGTAGCCGCCGGAAGAGAGCCGCGCGTCGCGCACTGCTCCGCGCGCCCGCGGGCAGCCGCATCCTGCCGCCCTCGGCGGCGCCGGCTGCGCCGTCTCGCCTCTTCGCGCCGCTGGCCCCCCCCCCCTCCGCGGGCCGGGGAGGCCTCCGCTCCTGGGACGTCGCGTAGGGGGCCCGCCATCAAGCGGTCCGCTCTGTACCAACCCACCCCCCTCCTCCCTCCTCCCCTCCCCCCTCCCCCCTCCTTCCTCCTCCCTCCTCCCTCCTCCTCTTCCCTCCTCCTCCTCCTCCTCCTCCTCCTCCTCCTCCTCCTCCTCCTCCTCCTTTTCTCCTCCTCCTCCTCCTCCTCCTTCTCCTCCTCTTCCTCCTCCCTCTCCCCCTCCGCCTCCCCCTCCCACTGCCCCCTCCCCTCCCCCTCCTCCTCCTCCTCTCCTCCTCCTCCTCCTCCTCCTCCTCCTCCTCCTCCTCCTCCTCCCTCCTCCTCCTCCTCCCCCTCCTCCCCTCCTCCTCCTGGACTCCTGCTCCTCCTCCTCCTCCTCCTCCTCCTCCTCCTGCCTGGAGTGGGCATGTAACGGGGGCCCCTGCTGGGGGCCAGGATGGGCACGAGAAGCGTGCGTTGGAACGCCCCCCCCCACATCTTCTGTCCCTCCCCACGGAGCACCGCCCGAGCCCTGGGCCCTCCCATCTAGGCCAGGGGCAGCGCTACGGGTGGATAGGCTCAGAGGCGGTTGCTGTAAGTCTTCTGGGTTGTTCGAAGGTGTCCGAAGCTGGGGGCTGGTTTCTTCCAGCTGCGTCTGGCCGAGGACGTTCTCGGGGTGCCAGACTCGTCCCGAACTGCTGCCGGAGGCCAGAGTTTTGTCCCGGAAGCCACGAAGCGGAAAATAAGGGGCGACGTCAGGGTCGAATATTTATGCTCGGGGGGGTGCATCGCCCCCCAATCGCCCATTCATCGCCGACAGGTGCTCGATAGCCCCTCCCGCCCAGGCACGTGCAGATTTGCTGTCGGGTGCCTATCGTCAATCTATCGGTGATGTATCGCCAACTCCAGGTCGATGTTTCCCCCGAGTCATAACCATCCTAACGCTCTCCCTCAAGATGGGGTTGGAGGATCGCGCGGCGTCACCAATGCATCGGCGATACAGCGCGATGTGGAGCCCCTTCTTCTCCTCCATCCCGCCGTCGCCTACGAATCAGCTTATGCGTCGGCGATGTGGTGGGGCCCTCAGAACACATCTGCTCCAGACCACAATTGGAAGGCGTCCATTCGCGACACCAGCCTACCACCGCGATGTGGGGATGGAGGCCGCGCAGTCTGGCGACGGCGACTCCTATCTCCACCCTGGGGGGGATAGGTCGGACAGCGGGCCAAAGGCTTTCCCTGCTGGGGATGGGGCAGTATGCCTAGCGATGCGGAGTCGTCGCAGCCGCCAGGGCAGCGCTCTGCCCTCCTTTCCGCTCTCATTCCCCCTCTCTCCTGCAGATCGACGGCTCCCTCCTCTTGGGAAGTTGTCGATCTTCTCTGCTTTGTGTCGGTCCCAGGGCGTGTTCCGTCAGGTGCACCTCGGAGGGTGTGTAGAGGAGCGTCCCCAGCGGTCCGAGATGTGTCCCGAAAGCCAGCTGGAGGGGCTCCATGCCTCCTCCTCCTTCTCCTCCTCATCATCATCCTCATTCTCGTTCTCATACTCCCCCTCCCCCTCCTCCTCCTCCTCCTCCTCCTCCTCCTCCTCCTCTTTCTCCTCCTCCTCCTCCTCCTCCTCCTCCTCCTCCTCATCGTCATCCTCATCCTCATCCTCATCCTCATCCTCCCCCTCCTCTCCCCCCTACGTTTCTACGTTTCTCGCTATGCAGCGTCTTGTCGCGCGCCCCGCGGGCGCGGAGCGCTCTGCAGCGGCCCTCCAGGGCCGTGCGGGCACTCAGACAGCGGCCCCGGGAACCCGACCCCGAGGAAAGCAGGGAGCCAGGGACCAAATAATCATAGAGAAGGGAGAAGAGGGGCCGGGTTTCAGAAAAACTACAAAGATGAGGGCCCGTCTGGGCCCTCAGCGGGCGCCGCGCTCGCCCGTGCCAGCTCAGCCAGCTCGGCGCGCAGCCAGGCCTTCGGCCTCCTTGTGGGCGGTCGGCCTCTTGTGTGGCGGCTGGGCTCCCTTCGGCGCCTCGCGCTGAGCCCAGCCGCCCGGTCATCAGGTGGATGGCCGCCTCCTCTGCGGCGGCCTCCACCCTTCGGCGCTTGGCGCTGTGGAGGCCCGCCGAGCCTCTCTTGGACTTCGGCGTCTCTGCAGCAATCTCCTCGCCTGCCACGCGAGGGCGGTGGGGAGACACCCTTCGGCGCCAGGCGCTGTTTCTCCTTCACCGCGGGGCAGGCTGCCCCTTCTGGTCGGGTACTCCATGGCTTCCAGTACTGCCTGACGTCGCAGAGCTGCACCTTGTAGGGCTCCCTGTAGCGCCGCGGTGTTGCCGACGTCAGTCATGACCCTCCTGCTTTTGAAGGGCAGGGGGGTGCTGATCATCTGATGTTGTAGCTGTCCCTCTCCCCCCTGCTCCTGTTCCTGGCCTTGATGTTTGTTGGCCTTCGGAGGGCTCGCTCGTCGACGCGGCTGTGTGCGGCTTGAAACAGTTGGCAGAAGCTTGTGAGGGTCTATTGCACCTTTTTGGAGCAGAGGTTGGTCAGAGGACGCCAGCTATACTTCCCAGGCCAACGATGCAGCTTGTTGTTGTCGTTGCTGCAGCAGTGGGTCACCCCAGAAGCCCCAATCTCTTCCCCAAGAGCGCTCTGCTGACATGGATCTCTGCGACAGCCCCATCGCCGAGGAACGGATCGCGGAGGCTGAACATCGGGAAGCACTAACGTTTGCACTCCCTGGCAAAAGCTGGAGGCGCGCCCAAAGCAGAGAGGGGGGCGGGCCTCCCCAGACGGCCCGGGCGGGCCCCGGCTTTCTGCGGAGAAGTTCTCCGAGCAGTTGTCTGGGCCTTCTCCGACGCCGCGGAGGGATCTCCGCAGAGCTGGAGCGCTCTGGGCAGCCCCGCCGCCCTCCGAGAAGGCTTGCCCCCCCTCTCCCTTCCCTCGTGGGCGAAGTGTGCGAAGTCCGTACCCGCGGCCTCGCGGGCCGAGCCCCTGGACCACGACCCCGCGGAGACGGGGAGCTCTCTATCGCGGAGGCCCCGCGGGGAGCGACCGCGCCTCCGCGGGATCGCGCCCCGGAATCCAGACCGTCAGGGCGCGGGCACCCTCTACACCTCAGGCGATGCTTAAGAAAACTTAAGTTTTCGGCCAGAGTCTCGATTATTCTTAACGTTTCAATGTAAATCTTAAGATTTTGATAGAAATCTTGGGTTCTTGTTCAAGTTCTGAGACTATGAATTTCTTAACCCATGATTTCTTAAGCATTTCGCAGGGTGTACGTTCGCCAATCGTGAGCCTCGCCGCATCGGCTCGCCGCCGAAGCAAGCCATCAGCATCGTTTCACCGATCCCCAGACCTGTCCCCACCCCGATGCCCACCATCCTGCCACCCCACTGGGGACATGCCTCTCGAAGCCCGACGGGAACAGCCTCTTTCCCCATCTAGGGGCGCAACGAGGGGAACGAAGCGCGCTCCGCGCGCCATGGAAGGGGGTCCAGCGCCGAGCCGAGACATCCGCGCGGACCTCCGAGTTTTATGTGTATACCACTTTTTGTTCCCCTGGTGACTCAGCCAGTGGGTCCAGGCCAAGCCCGTGTGGATAGGGATCGGCTCAACGATGCTCACGCCAGAGGCAAGCGGGTCGCACCAGCAGCAGCGCAGGCGCCGCACGCCCGCGGGCGTCCCGCCGGGGGGGGCCGCACCCCTGCGCGGCGCCCCCCGCGCGCCGCGGGTCTCGGGTGAGGCATCGGGGCTCCGGGGGTCCACGCCGTGTCTCAAAGTCCCGAAGTCGGAGATAGCTGGGGCAGAGGGGGAGGGCGAGGGAGGCAAGCAGGAGCCGGCAGAGGCGGCGGCGGGCGGAGGGCGGAGGAGGGGGACGAGAGCCGCGGTCGCGCCCGCCGCCCAGGCGCCACGGCGGAGCTCGGCATGGAGTGGGTCCTCAAGAACGGCTGCGCGGAGGAGTCCGAGGTTCAGCATCGTTGAACCGGCCCCTATCCCACCATCGCTAGGGGGTTGCTAAAGGTGCCCCCGGCCCAAGCTGCCCCCAGCTTTTCGCTCAATTTTAGAGCCCCTGGGGCCCTCTGGGCCTCGTGAGGGGTGGAGGCCGTGGGGGCCTCCTTGGAAATGTCTGGGGGCACCTTGGGCCAGGGGCACTTCCAGCCACACCCGAACCGCTTGGCCACGCACAGAGGGGCGTATTGGGGAGGCAGGAGGGCTCCTTAGAAGCACCCCTGCTTCTTCGAAGGCGCGGGTCTCGTCTCTAGATGTATGGCCAGTGCCTTCGAATAAGAGGAAAAAAAACATCCTAAGAAGCCTTCCCCCCCTACCCCCTGTGCTCGCCGCCAAATCCCACCACCCCAAGTGGGCCTATACCCCTCGAAGCCCGAAGGGAACAGCGTCTATCCCCACCTGGGGGGGGGGGGGGGGGGGGGGGGGGGGGCAATCCGCCAGTGGGGCCCAGGCCACGCCGCGACAGGGGTCGGTGCAACGATGCCCCGAGGTGCCCTACACGGGCCAGGAGACCCCCCCGCCCGCGGCGCCCGCCCGAGCGCCGCGTGGCCCGGAGGGCGGGCACGCTCTCCTGCGCACCCCTCGTGGCGCGCGGGCGCGGCGGAGGAGGGGCTCATCGGCCCCTCCGGACAGAGGCATCGGCTCCGCGGCGCTCCGTCCCCAGGCCTCGAGGCGCGGGGGCGCCTGCGGCGGGGGGGCCGAGCCCAGCGCCACGTGCACACCTCGGAGGCGATGCACGGCGCGTGATTGGTTGTCAGCTTTCTGCGCGTGCCCTGCAGCGTCCCAGGAGATCCCCCCTGGGGTTTGAGTCGGGCCTGTCCCTCTACAGGAGGGATATTCAGAAATAGTCAAAACATCGGCTTGGGACGATTTTGTTTTTGTTCATTTTTTTGTTTGTTTTGTTTTGTTAGACTATGTTTTATTTTTCGTCCAAAATCCCCAGGTAGGGGGACAGACCCGACCTAACCCTGGGTGTCTGGATGCCTCCAGAGGCACACGAGGGCCAGGAGCGTCAGGACGCCTCGATGTTTGATTTTCCGCCTTCCCTCGTCCCCGTTTTCCCGCCTCGACCCCGATCTTCTCCCTGCTCATCTTCCAGAGCAGCGCCCCCGCCGACCCTGTCCACATACAATGCTCGATCCTCCTCCCCCTCCCTCTCCTCCGCCTCCTCCTCCTCCTCCTCCTCCTCCTCCTCCTCCTCCTCCTCCTCCTCCTAGCGCCCCCCTTATGGTCCAAGGCTGTGAGCCTGCTTTGAGACCACGAAATCACTCGATGGGCCGCGGGGGACGAACTCGGCGCGGAGGTCCACGCGTCGACCCCGTTGGCATTAGCAGCACTTCAAGATTTGGAACCCTTTTTCCCCGCCCGCTACGACGACGACGACCACTCCCACCCACGTCCCTCTCCTCCGTATTCAGAGTGACCAACATCATTGCTGGCATGCTAGGCAATCACCTCTCTAGCCACCAGCTCACGATACTAGCAATGGCCTCAGGGATGCTCGCGCGCGCTGGAGCGCCGCCGCGATCTGCCTCTCGAGGGGCCCCTTCGGCGACGCTCCGACTGACTGCGCTGCCTTGCACTCCGCGAGCGCCAATTCCATCGGCGAACTCACCGCCAGCGCCTCTGGGCGTGGGCGCAGCCCCAGAGTCGCCTTGACGTAGCCCTGCGTCTTCTTGCTGCCTGGACCCCGCGGTGCCTTCAATGTGGACTGCGTGACCAAGGGCGCCATGAACTGCGGCGTCTGGTCCTTGAGATACTTCTGGAAGAACGTGTTGGCTGCCGCTTGCGCCTGCGCCGATCCCCGCGCCGTCGCAGCTCGGACCGCGATGGGGGAACACCGTGATGAACGGAGGCCCTGGACTGGAGAGATCGGCATCCTCGCCCGCCTCCTTGCGCCCGTGGATTTTCTTCGCCGCGCCCGAGTAGAACTCGCTGGCGCGACTCGCTCGGCGCGAGGAAGGTCGACGGCACGACGGGCAAGAGCACCGCCTGCACTCGAGCGGTGGCCAGCGAGAGCGCCGCCACCCTGTGGGGAAGAGACCTTTCGCCTCGCTCTCGTTTGCCGTTGCCATCCGCCTGCTTCGCCTGCGGCCCCGCGCTGCCTGCCGCATCTTCCTCGGGTCGCTTTGGCGCAATGACCAGGCCAGCCCGCGGAGGAAGCTCTTCCTCGCCGAATATTGCTGCGCCCAGCTCTACTCGCGGGGGCATGCTGAAGGTGGCTGAGAGCGCGCCGGTTGCACTCAGGCAGCTGCAAAAATGTTGAGCCACAAACTCTGCGCTGGATGTTCTCAGGAACCTGGAGCTCCGCAGTGGTGGGTGCTTTGCTTTGTAGGCAACGCCCACGGTGCAGGGCCCCTCTCGAGACGCTTGCAGCCCGTTAGCCTCTCGCCACAGACTTCCTCACACAGCGAACATTGATTCGTTGTAGCGATGGCGTGCGATATCTTCCCACTGTCATGTACAATGCGAATGTGATTAGCAAACCCTGACCTACAAAGTCCACAGGGACCCGACGATTCCTCCCATGGGCACACATGACAGCGTTCAATTAAACGGGCGCTAACTTCCGCCTCTTCGGGAGACCAATTGAGGGGCTCCCGCGGGATAGAAACGGCAAGGGCGGGACTTCGATCGATCGTGATGTCTATGCGTTTCAATATGGCCGGCAACTCTGGCACACACACGCGCGCGTTCACTCTACCGCGGACATCGCGCGCAGATCCTCGGCTGCCTCAGACGCAAGCACAAGCTACTCAATGTCCTCGTGGACTCTCAAAACCCACGGCTTCGCACCAGGGCGGATCGAACAACACTCACCGCGAACGTCTTGGCCCAACATCTGGCCAGACCAAGCTCCGATCAACTGTCAATGTGATTCGGGATAAGCGCTAATACGTTGAAATCACTTCAGTCTACGCGCTCTTTGTTCCATGCCAAGGGGTATGATATTCCAGTACTCAAGCACCTGCTGGGAGAACAAGCGACGAATATGGCGCGCATCTTCCCAGCTCGCATTACCTTTCATGGCGCGTCTGCAAAGCCCCGCCACCACAAGCTCTAATTTGCGAAGCTGGCCTACACTCGGCATGTAACTTTCGACGGCAGACAGGGGTTTCACACCGTGACATCGCAGCGCGCATCGCTCCCAGCGAAAAATAATATTATTCATGTGGCAAAAGCGCCCCAGGCGTAAGTATGCCGTCTTCGCTGCCTGGATGCGCTTGCCGAGTTCAATCTGGGAGGATTGAATGGAGGTCAGGCGAGGTCCTCGATAACTGACCGATTCTCCGCGGCCGCAAGCTTGGCTACCCAGCAAGTGAGCTACCCTCCGCTTCGCTGAAGGCGGGGCCGAACAAATGGCCTCCTGCTGCGTTGGATTTCGCTCGAGACCGATCCTCGCGAGCTCCTCGCCAAGCCAAGCATCGCTTTGTCGAAGAGGCCTTTTGGCCACGTCCAGATAAAATCGCGGTCCGAGTAATGGCTAGTTTTGCAAGATCGTCGGCGAACTTCGCCAGCCCGAGATAGACGCTCGTTGGGGCTATAACTTCGCGCTCAGCTGTCAGCAACTGCCCCAAGGGGCCCCCCCGTCGACACCTCGACGTCCAACGGTCGACCGACGGACGAAAGACATGAACAAACGACGCGACAGCGAATATATTTCCATGAGGCACGCCGCAGCCTGTTCGCAGGAGGAGATCGCCTTCCTCTGCAGGGGTGGATGCGCACGCAAGCATATATCGTTGCTGGCAGAAACGCATCCCCGATCCTCAAGCCAGCGCAGTCCACAGCTGGCCAGGCTAGGGATGCGAAGGCGTTGCTGCTTTTTGTTAGGCGAGGCCAGCCGTGTTCAAACGCCGCGACGTGCAGATGTCGGTTGCAATGGCGTCTTCGCGCCGTGGTCCATCTCGGAGTGGGTGCATGGTGGGCCTCGTTTCATCGCGCGTTCCAACAGGGACTTCCCGGTCGGGCCCAGGCCGTACATCGCCCGACGGACCGCCGGGCCAGGAAGCACGCATTCCTGCAGAGCGAAACCTTGGCTGCAGGGTCGCAAACTCGGAAGAAGACGAATCTGGCGGGTCAGGGAAACAACTCGGAGAAGCCAGCGTCTAACTCTCTCGCCCCACATCGGCGGGAGTTTCGAGCCGCACCAGCACAGCGACGAGGGTCCTCCTCAGGAGGCTCACCGACCCCAGGACCCCAAAGCTCAACAGGCAACGACTACCGAAGGACACCCTTTCCTCCTTAGAAGCTGTCTCCAGAAAGGGCGTCATGACATGACTGTGCAGCTGTTCCCTGTCGGTTCGCTGGCGGGGCTGGCGGCCGCTCGAAGTGCCTGCGGTCCCTGCCCAGGCCCCCCCCGCTCCAACCGGGTCGCCAGCGCCCCTCCCTCCCCGCCTGGCTCGGGCCAGGTCGCAGGCCTTTCCCTTCCTGTGCGGGCAGTGCACCTCGGACTCTAGAAGCATCGCGTTTCCCGCCGCCGCGTCGGCCTCCTGCCGGCCGCAAGCTCAATCTGTGAATGGTAGCGAGTTCACGGAACCGCCAGGCTTCATGGATCTCCTCCACCAGGGCCTCGTTCTTCATTTTGAGCCCCTGTTTCCGAGCCCTGGCACATGTCCTGGCGATTGCTTTGAGCCTCTGGATGCAATCCTCTTGCTCGGCGGGAGAACGCGAGTGCAACCTTTCGCCTGGAGAGCGCCGACGCTCAAGAAGTCGAATCCGCTCCACCTTGTGAGGACCTGTGTCAATGGGAGCATATATTGAGAACAGCGTTGTCCCTCCTCTCGAAGCACGCCATCCAACCGTTTCAAATTCGTCTCAGCAGAGTCCATCTTCATAGTAGCTTCCATCTCGGCCAGTCTAGCTTGTACTGCCGTCAGAAACTGGTAACTAACGTGCATGTGATCCTCGGAGAGCATGCGTCAATTTGTCCCCGTCAAATTCCACCGATGTGGATTGATCGTCAGTTTGGGCTGTCCATGGTGATTGTGTCCTTTGTTCAAATTCTATTTTGAACCCAATTCGCACGCAGGGGCATGATCTCGCAATTTGGCGTCGTCTATGTATTGCGACCGCCAGCCCATGTGTTTCAGGGGGCCTTGAGACTTGATCTTGACAGCCAGGGAGCGCAGAACAGTAACGTGGTCAATCATGCTCGAGTTGCCACGCCCATCGAAAAAGGTAGGTGGTACTCCGCGTGGTAGAGAAGAGCCCGTGCTCCTCCATCAATTCGCGTACTCAATGTCCAGCTCCCCACAAACGTTTCTCATGCGAGATTCCGTACCCACCTGTCTGCTTTCCTACATCGATCCATTTCCCATCGTTTGTGATCTGCCATAATAAACACAATAGATGAGTGGAGGGCCTGTCGGGTCGTCGTCGAAGCCCATTTGTTCAGTTGCTCACAACAAGACACGTACTTCGGCACCGATTTGCGATCAAAGGGCACGGGCGGGACATACAACGTGGGTGCATAAGAAAAGGCGCCGTTGACACTAAAATATATTCCCAGCCCACGGCCCTGTAGCATGGATGGTGGTGTGTCTATCCGTCGAATCGTCTTCTGTGGCCATCTCGGGGGCAAGAGAAATGTGCACCTTGCGCTACGGTAGCTGAACTTCGTAGCTCGTCACCCTGCAAGTACAGCAATCTTTCTTAGAACCTTCGGCATTATGTACGTATCCTGGGGTATCGCCTTGGTACCTATGCCCTTCAGCCCGGTCATGCCTGAGCTCTGCGCTTCAGCACATATCCTTCAGCCCTGCACGTGCTCCATTCGAGCAGCTGAAAGAGCCAAACCCTAAAGTGTACGTCGCGATCTGCTGCTAGTC